GGGGAAGTTGCAGTAGATCTCACACTGCACTATCTGTTAGGTGTATGGTTGACTTCTTTCCATCCTTCTTTTTAAATTGTGTCCGTCTGTTGATCACAGGTCCCTCCATATTTTTCAAATGAAAATATACCAACGGCGATGGACCGGCCTTAAGCATTACCTTTTTTTATGTCTAGCAAAGTTTCACTTTTATACAACAGCAAATAAACTTTACTAACTTCGTGGTTTGATTTTTTAAATTTGATTTTATTCTAATATTATGTTTGTGTCTTGAGCTTCAAATTATGGTGGGGTGGGGGGGTGTTTGCCAAGAGCAGTAGCATGGCGTTAAAAACTTGCCAGTGTGTATTGTGTGATGGTGGGGTCTCTTCTCTGTGGCTATTAATTTACTATCAGTTTATTGTGCAAAAGGAGTTGGCTAATGCTGATGTTGTTGTTGTGATGTTGCTGACAGGTGCTGGAGCGCTGGCGAGACGGCTGGGAGGACAAGAGTTGTGACTGACACTTCCTGCTCCCCGTGAACTCTCGATGGATAGCGGCGGACAGCCCCGCGGGGATGGATAGCCCTGTGTCGTGATGGATAGCCCCGTGTTGTGATGGATAGCCCCGTGTCGACTTGTTTAACAAGCACCCAGTTGTCTTTGACCCACGTATTGTATTTGTTTTGGGGTTTGTTGGTTTGGTTTTTTGGGGGGAGTAGGGGGAAGGGGGGGGTCCCTTGTTTCCCTGAGAGATTGACATGCATTGATTGTGTTTATGATGACTCGTGATATGGCTGCAATTTTTTTGCCGTGCAAGGCAGATACAGTGTGAAAAGAATGTGATTGAATGTGTGAACAGCCTTTTTTATTGTTTTCCTTTTTTTGTGTTTTTTTTGGTCTGAGAATGCTCCTGACTGCCCATTATCCCAGGACTTTAGTTTTGAGAAGAGATTCAGGTGTCTGGTGGATGTGTTGAATGATACTGCTTGTGTGTTCTTGCAATATCTGTGATGACGTTTATGAAGAATATATAATGATTCTGACCTGATATACTGCCATTTTTCTCCCTTTTTTTGGTTACTTTTCTGAAGTTGAAGTGGTATTGAAATTTGGATTATTGATTATTGTGGCCATGAGTATGGATGAGAGCGGATGAAAAGTGTGTTTCTTTTGTGTGAACTTGACAATTTCTGGATTTGCCGTCTTTTTTTCAACCAACGTTCGTTCTGTGGAAAGTTTTTCCCATGCATCGATGGCTGTTATGTTACAATATTCTACGATTATGTTACAATATTCTACTGTTATGTTACCATGAAACTTTCGTCAACTTTTCAGTTATAACTTTGAGTTGAAAGAAGCTTGACCTAAAGGTATTTCATATCTGTAAGAAAAGAAACTTTCAGATTTCTTTTAAAAAGTTGAATCTCTCAGATCAGAGGTTTTTGCTAACTTTTACCATGGACAAGAGACCACTGGGATTTTTTCCCTGCTGAGAAAAACTCGCACAAGGAAAGTAAAGTTGTGATTGAAAGTGAGAAGAATAACCGTAATGGCAATGGGTTGTTCCCCCTTATTGTTCTGATCCTTTTGGTCATTTTTCTTCCTCTCTCTGGGGGGGGGGGGGGGGGGGGGGGTTCATTATTTTATTCTTTAAAGGGAGGAGGTGTTGGAAAAATGGGGGAAGTTCCCAAAATTTGCCCTAAAACTGCAGACTGAAGAGAAGGGTCGGTTTTGGCTGATTTTTGTGAACAATATGGAGAGATGAAAGACACAAGTTTCACCCGAAGAACAACAACATCAGTTGAAAATCTACAAATCTGATGTGTCAATTGTCAGACTACACCTCCATTCATGGATTGTCAGACTACACCTCCATTCATGGATTATCAGACTACACCTCCATTCATGGATTGTCAGACTACACCTCCTTTCATGGATTGTCAGACTACACCTCCATTCATGGATTGTCAGAAGTTACCCGTTTTGTCAGCATGTCTCACAAATGTATATCTTCCCGACACAAAACTTTGATTTTATTTTTTTCACAGTTCACGTAGAGTTGAGGCACTACTTATGCGGCCTCTTGATTCATTTTTGTCTCTGAACGGCGTGTTCATTGTCACTGCCAGTTTGGTTTGGGTTCCTGGCACACTCTGACTGTTGAAACATTGCTTGGCATCCGGTTTGCGATTGCCAGTTGATACAGTTTGATTTCAAACCATGTGTAACGAGACTGTTGAGGAGTCCCGATGCCATCATGGAACCTTGAAGCAGTTGAGAAGGTCAAGTGATGCGGTCACATTGGGGAATCTCCGGGTAGCTACGGAAAAATTTTCTTCTGTAAACTGTCCTTTCACCTCCTGTCTCCTTTCACCTCCTGTCCTATTCTTTAGCAATGTTCTGTCGTCTGTTTTCGTCTCCACTTTCTGCCCTCACCTCCTTTGCCCCCTCCTCTGGGCTCCTGACTCTTTCTGCAGCCTTTCTACTGCTACTCCTTTTCTCCTCCTTACTGCTGTCTTTCAGCCACACCTTTGATCTTCTGGTAGGAAAGACCTACACCTAGCCCTCTTGGACAAGGGAGAAAAGTCTCGGAGGTCCCGTGTGCAAGTTGTGCACGTTAAAGACCCCTTGGTGGTCTAAAATCTATGAGTAGGTTTCAGCCGCCACCCGGGCAAAATTCAAAATTTCGTACTAACTTAAAATGTTCAATGCCGTTGAGAGAGTCCGTGGGGATAGGCCCAGAAACAGGCCTAGAAACTATTCCCAGCGTCACTGAGAACAGGCCCATTATTGCTCCCACCCTGTTATAGGCCCACGTGTTCACTTATCCATCAGAGCACTCCTCCCAGTGTGTTTGGAAGTGAATGTTGGCTTGTGAGTGAGGTGATGTATCTCTGCACGTCACTCTGATCGCGGGGTCAGCATGCATAAAAAGAAATGTAGGCTTTAAATTGTGTTTCTGACTGGTGTGTGATGATTGGAAATGAAATATTCCTGCAGCATTGTTGTTGGTCTCAACTGATTGGACATACAGTTATGTGTCTGGAACGTTCTCAAAAAGTCAAATCTTCCTGTGGATATATTTGCTGGGAGGCTCCGTGTGGATGCGACACGCAGAACGCAACAACACGTATCAGAAGAAAACAACACAGTAAATTGTGTGTCTGTCTGGTGTGTGGTGGTTGGAAATGTGTCTGCAGCATTGTTGTTGGTCTTTGCTCATCGGAGATACCATACAGTTAGGAAAAAAAAGTCTGGATCGTTCTCAAAAAGTCACATCTTCCTATGGATATATTTGCTGAGTGGCTCCGTGTGGGTGCGACACGCAGAACGCAACAACACGTATCAGAAGAAAACAACACAGTAAATTGTGTGTCTGTCTGGTGTGTGGTGGTTGGAAATGTGTCTGCAGCATTGTTGTTGGTCTTTGCTCATCGGAGATACCATACAGTTAGGAAAAAAAAGTCTGGATCGTTCTCAAAAAGTCACATCTTCCTATGGATATATTTGCTGAGTGGCTCCGTGTGGGTGCGACACGCAGAACGCAACAACACGTATCAGAAGAAAACAACACAG